TATTTATTAGAATAAAGAACAAGAAGCCAAAGAGGAGCTCAAGAGGAGAGCTAAACAATTAGAAATGCAAAAAAAAGAAATGCTCAAGCGCGGTGGCGGTACATTGGGCGGTACTTCTTTTGGTAGTAACTTTGCTCAATCAATCAGTAAACCTTCTTCATATAATGAACCGCAAGTTCAAACGACTTTCGAAGAAAATATCCGTTCATCGTTTAGTAGGTGTGATATATATATCGGACAGATACCCCCTTTTTTTTTTTTTTTAAAAAAAAAAAAAAAAAAAAAACAGAAAAATTAATATAAGCGCACATGAATTTTCGACATAGTTCGCCTACTCCGTCATCATCTAAAGCCAAGGGTATGCAGCTTGGACGTAAACAGAAGGGTTCCGATTTATTCGAAGCCGTTAAAAATGAAGTTGGTTTTGAAGAAACTATTGAAAAGCCCAATAGAATGACTTCTATTTCAAAAGTTCAAGTGGAAAGGTTTAATTATCCTTTTTTTTATAAATTATTTTCATTATTAAATGTTTTGTATTATAATTTAATGCGTTATTTTAATGATTTAATTTTAGTGTACACCTTGCAATTATGGAAAAGATTTCTTTACAAGCTAACCGAGATGGGGGTTTGGAAAATTTAGAAGTTAAGGGTGACTTGGAACTAACCGTTTCTGATCCAGACTTAACAAAAATCAAAATATCTGTTCGTGCTGTTGATGATGGTACTGTGCAATTAAAGGTGATTATTTTTTATAGTTTATCTTGATAATGCATGAATACTATGACTAATAATGATATCGTTGACAGACTCATCCCAACGTTGATAAGAAATTATTTTCAAGTGATAGTATTATTTCATTGAAAAACCCCGCCAAAGGTTTTCCTGTTAATCAACCATTGGGTGTATTAAGATGGCGTTATATCACTAAAGATGAGACTGTGATCCCATTATCAAGTATATTTAATTTTCAATTTTCGTTTTCTTTTGACTTTCTCGTGCATACGACTAATTTATTCGTATTTATTTCTTTTAGTAAATTGTTGGCCTTCCCCATCTGGGGATGGAACATTTGATGTTAATATTGAATATGAATTAGAGAACGATGAACAAGAGTTCAAAGACGTATTGATCACTATTCCTTTGCCGTAAGTAAATAACGCACATCGTTAAATTTACAAAGCTTCATATTTGTAACATGGCTTTTTTGCTTTTCTTCGTATTTTTTTTTTAAGTCCTGGAGGAAATCCTACTGTTGGTGAAGTGGATGGTCATTATGAAGTAAATCGTCAAACAAGAAGTTTAGATTGGCAATTACCCATTATTGACGCTTCTAATAAGCAAGGCTCTCTGGAATTCAGTATTGCGGGTGACGATGTTAACGCATTTTTCCCTGTCGGAGTGTCATTTGTTAGTGAAAAAACTTTCTGTGATATAGATGTAAGTAACATAATTTGGTTCATTTCTTTAAAAAAAAAAACAATGCTTGATTTATATTTATATATCGTTTAGGTTTTGGAGGTGACTCTCATTGAGACAGGTGCACCTGTGACTTATTCCAAAGAAAAAATTCTGACAGCCGAAGAATATAATGTCGTGTAAAAATTATAATATATAATTTAATTTATCGATATAATTTTTATTTATAAATTCACATTTAGATAATGAGCAGTGCATCTAATCCAATTATTTAGAATTTAAATTTTTTAAATGAGATTTTTAAATAAAAAAATTTGAATAATAATAAATATCGTTTATTTATTTATTTTTTATTCACGTCATATCATTGGTTTATTAAAATTATTTTTAATTAGACCCCCCTTTAAACGAGGATAAAAAATTTAAATAAATTAATTATAAGATTCAAATCTGAGATCCCATCCAATTTGAGGACCATATTTAGGTAAAGCTTCGGCTACAGACACAACATCTTTATCACCACGACCACTAAGACATAATAGAATATCTTGGTCTTTGTTCATCGTAGAAGCAAGCTTTAGAATATAAAAAATAGCGTGACTCGTCTCAAGAGCTATATATAACAAAAGCAAAAAAAAATTAGAATTCGTTTACATCAAGATTTCTTCAAGGTAAACAAACATACCTGGTATGATCCCTTCCAATTCGGACATTTTCTTAAATCCAATTAAAGCATCTTTATCCGTAACAGCAACGTAACTTGCGCGACCCGTGTCTTTGAGCCACGCATGTTCAGGTCCTACACCAGGATAATCTAATCCCGCGCTAATACTATGCGTAGCTTTGATTTGTCCTTTCTTATCTTGTAATAAATAAGTACGCGTTCCATGAAACACTCCAGGCGTACCTACCGATAAGGTTGCCGAGTGAAATTCAGTCTCCGCTCCTAAGTTAAAATTGATGAATCATAATAAAATACAAATATATATATATATATCATAAAATATTTGGGAGGAAATGACAAAAGTCGTAATAATTACCATCGCCACCGGCTTCAACCCCTACAAATTTTACGCTTTCATCCTCGATAAATGGATGAAACATTCCAATAGCATTACTTCCACCACCAACACAAGCAACAACCACATCTGGTAATTTACCGGCTTTTTTTATCATTTGTTCCCTTGATTCCCTTCCAATCACAGATTGGAATTCTCTTACCAATGTTGGGAATGGATGGGGTCCAATCGCTGAACCAACCAAATAATGCGTATCCTGAACAGTAGTTACCCAATCTCTCATGGCTTCATTAATGGCATCTTTTAATGTTTTGCTTCCCGATTCCACCGAAATAACTTTGGCTCCCAACAATTGCATTCTAAAAACGTTTAAGGCTTGCCTTCTAACGTCTTCGGCTCCCATGTAGATAACACATTCTAATCCGAATTTAGCACAAACAGTAGCAGTGGCAACGCCGTGTTGTCCAGCTCCGGTCTCTGCAATAATTCTTTTTTTGCCAATACGTTTTGCTAATAATGCTTGTCCTATGGCGTTATTAATCTTGTGTGATCCTGTATGATTTAAATCCTCCCTTTTTAACCAAATTCTTGCACCTCCAGCGTTTTCTGTTAACCTATCCGCGAATTGTAATTGTGATTCTCTACCTATATAATCATAAAATGATCGAAATTCTTTCCAAAATTCTGGATCATCTTTTGCTTCCGTAAAAATCTGACATGATAAAAAAAAAAAACTTGTTTTAAAACTCGGATAATAATAATAATATATATATATATATATTTTAACACGAAAGTTACTTTTTCAAGTTGGACTAAACAATCAACCAAAGCTTCGGGGACGTATTGACCCCCAAAATCACCAAATCGAGGTTCCAGTGTATTATTCCAAGAATCCTAAAGGTAAATTTCAACTTTAAATGAATAATACTCTTCGATGTAGTTTAGATCAAAAAAAAGTGAAAAATGATTATAAAGATTACATTAACATCCACGTGCTCGATACTTTGACCATTATCTTGGGTACCATATAATTTGACCACTTTGGCATTTTCCTCCTTGACATCTTCAGCCGCTCTACCGCAAACTTCCAACGCGTATGATTTTATGGCCTCGATTCTTTTACCTTTAGCTAGACACGTAAAAAATCGCGATTGGATCAGATCATATGATCTTGTGAACATATCACAATAGATCGTAAAATATATACATACGTGCTGATTTTAAAACGTTGACGATCTTACTACCAATTACAACACCATCAACGTATGAACCGACAGCTTTAAAGTGTTCTCTCGTGGTAACACCAAAACCAACAGCAAGGGGTAACTTTGTATGTTTACGAATTTTCGAAATTATGTTTGGTAATTCCGCATTGATAGTATCTCTTGAACCCGTTACTCCCATTCTTGATACCACGTAGATAAAAGTATCGGCAACGCGTGCAAGATGACGTATACGCGCTTCGGAAGTCGAAGGAGCGATTAGAGGGATATAACTTAAACTGTGCGACAGGATGAACGAGGTTAAATTGGGATCCATCAAAGTAAATAAAAAGATAATACATGGAATTTTACCCTTTTTCATTACAAATGGACCTAAACTTTTCACATTCTTCGGGAGGCAAATCAACTACAATATATCCATTAACACCGACTTTTTTACATTCATCAACAATTTTTTCTTCGCCATAAGCAAGAATTGGATTATAATATCCCATGAACACTACAGGAACTTTGAGTCCTTTAGCTCTTGCTTCGGATACATACGACAAACATTTTGTAATGTCTATATCATGTTGAAGCGCTACCTGTCACATAGTTTGAAAATTAACGATTAGATCGGTTGAAAAGTCGATTTAAAAAAAAAAAAAAAAATTGGGAAATTTTCCGTTGGATCAATTACATTATTGGATTCTTGAATTGTCGGACCATCGGCCAAAGGATCAGTGAACGGGATGCCTTTGCATTCATTGGATAATTTTTTTTTTTTTATAGGTAAAAAGTTTTTTTATAAAAAAAACGATCATTTTTTTAATTTAATTACCCAATTCAATGATATCTGCACCACCAGCTTCAAGTCCCAGTAACAAATCAACGGTTTCTTCCGGTTCTGGATATCCGGCTGTTATAAAAGCGATAAAAACTGGTCGTTCTAAAAAGGAGGAAAGAAAAAAAAAAAAACTATCGGACTTTCATTCAATTTTTCATCATTTACGTTTAAAAAGATTGTATATACTTTGTTCGCGACAGTTTTGAAAAATTTGATTCAATCCGTTTGACATTATGGCAATAAAAGAAAAAAATTTTTTTTTTATTTTATGGATCAAAAAAAAAACGAATTTTTTATTGTTTTTTTGATAAGGTACATCTATTTCTAATGAAGGGATAGTCGATCCCTTGAAAAACCGGTGGCTAAATTGCGCCTTGGTCGATAATGAAAACCATAATGATAAGCTCATGAAAATCTTTATATTCGAAACAATAAAAAAGTTTTGATATTAAGGCTGTTCTCCTTTATACCTTAAATACTATTTTTTTCTCGACTTTATGTGATTACCAATTAAAACTTGGCGCCACTTCCTAAAATGCTTAACCGAATTTCAATTTAAATTCGACCCAGAATTAGGGAAATTTGGTCCGATTGAATCAAACATGTCAAAAAAAAAGATACATGAATATGACAGGCAAGAGATGATTTCCGACTTGACCGCTTTAAAACTGTAATAGGGGTTGTTTACTGATCCGATCCATCAATCTTTAAGCGATTTTGGAGTTTGAGTTTAGATCTTTAAATCAATTTTAGAGACCGGTCTTTGGATCGATTTTAAACTCGATAATTAATAATTTAGTAGTAGCATTACAAAGAACAAGGAAAAGAAAAATTAATTACAATATCTAGGTAAAGATTAAAAGAAGCGCCAAGAGGACAGAAAATCTAATAGATTTTATAGATTTTAAACAAATTTTATTTAATGTTTATTTGTCAATAAACGCTTTGTATTTCTATTTTGATCCTCCGCCACGTTTGATAACACAATTGTCGCTGATCCAGTAAAAGAATGGTAAATTCTATTCCATTACTATTTTATTATAAGTGTATATAATTGTTATTGCCTTTATTTTTATAGTCCCGAATCAAAAGGAAGAAACGTCCTTTTCTTTCTCCTCAACGTGAGGTTCATAACATAACGAAGTCAATTTTATACACAATCGTCTAATTTTAGCCGACTATGGGATTTCACACATTTGCTAATAATTAACCTTTTTATTATAAAATTTTAAAAATTCATTTAAAATGAATAATAGATTACATAATCATGGTTTGAAGCCCACTCAAAAGATGAAGTCGATACGTGATTGGTCACAAAATGTCCGGATGTAAAACGTGTTTTGATGCAAGATTATCTCCTACGTTACACAAATGAAAATCAATCCTCATAAATTTCTTATTCTAACAGTAGAGTAACATTGAAACATTCATAAAAAGAAATAATCTGGTACAGCCCGCTTAATATGATTTTTTGAGGAATATGGATGTTAAAGGCTTATCGATTACTTGGCGTAAAGTTTTTGCTATCAAGGATTTGGACTGACTTCGACGTAATATTTGTACGGATACTAACTTACTGTAGTATTTGAAATACTACCAACAATACCCCTTCAGACGAATATTTTCAACATGGTTATAATAAAAAAACCTTCCAAACGCTCTCTTTATTTTCAATATATCTTCTTGATTGTTTTAACCATAATATCGTCTGTAGTGTCACTCGCTTTCTTTATATCGCTATTTGATATTACGTTATTCAAATCAAACCGACAACTATTTTTTGAAAAAGAGTATGTTAACCCTACAAAGGATCGCAGTATATTTTACGACGTTAAAGCTGAGAAAAATATGACGAGAGAAAACGCTGTAATAGTCGTGCTCGTAAGGAATGAAGAATTGCCGAATTTACTGTCTTCTATGAGACAGTTTGAAGACCGATTTAATAAAAAATTTCAATACCCTTATGTATTCCTAAACGATAAAAAATTCACCAAAGCCTTCATTCGAGCGACGACTGCTATTACAACCGCTGAAACAAAATATGGTATGTATTATATTAGGAAATATCATGTACCTACATGCATAACTTTTATTTGTTATTGTAAACAATACGTAAATTCAAACATTTATTTATTTTTAAAAAAGGGATAATACCAAATGAAATGTGGAGTTATCCAAAATGGATAAATCAAACTAAAGCAAGCGATGCTCGTCAAAAGATGCAAGAAAATAATGTGTTGTACGGTGGCTCGGAATCTTATCGTCATATGTGCCGGTTTAATTCTGGATTCTTTTTTCGTCATGAACTATTAGAACAATATGATTATTATTGGAGATTAGAACCTGGAGTTGAATTTATGTGTGATATAGATTATGACGTATTCAAATTTATCAAAAAGAACAATATAACGTACGGCTTTACGATTTCGCTCTTGGAATTAGAAGAGACCATTCCTACCCTATGGGATACTGTGAGGGAGTTCATGAAAGAATATCCGGAATATATAAATAAAAATAATGTGATGAATTTCATATCAAACTCGGGAAATTCTTATAATATGTAAGTGATTCGTTTTAGAGATAAGTTGATGTTTATTACATTTGATGTTTAATGTTTTCCATTATCAGGTGCCACTTTTGGAGTAATTTTGAAATCGCTGATTTAAATTTTTGGAGAAGTGAAAGATATATTAAATTTTTCGAGTACTTAGATAAAGCTGGAGGGTTTTTCTATGAAAGGTATATAAAAACTTTTCATTTTTTTTTTTTTTTTTTTTTTTTAATTTGACGCTTTATCATTAAATTTTATTTTTTTTATTTTACTTTCATCTCTTTTTAGATGGGGAGATGCTCCAGTTCATTCAATTGCACTTGCATTATTCTTAGAAAAATCACAAATACATTTTTTTAACGATATATCGTATCGACACCCTCCATTTGAACATTGTCCTATTGAGAAAAATGTTCACGAAGAGGGTAAATGCCATTGTAATCCAGAGAAGACATTTGGTAAAAAAAAAAAAAACCCTTTTTGATCCTGCTTTGAATTTTTTCATGTTTATTCGCGTTTACGTTTTATTAATTCATTTCCTTCTTTTATTGACAGATTTTGTGGGGGGTTCTTGTCTATCATCTTGGTTCGCAGCTTGATTAACAGCTTTTGATTAGAACAATAAAAGACATTATTCACAACTTTATAGAAATTTTTTTTTTTTTCACACAAATACAGACTTTTAATACTTTTAATACTTTTTACTATTTGCATTTTTATTAATTAATTATTTATTTATTGAACCTATCAAATTATAAAAGTTGTACAGAGTTTTGTATTCTATAAATATTAAAAATTACGGAATATAATAATATAAGAGTATAATTTAATGTAATAATTCTCGTTTAAATTCTTAAACGTCACTCGACAATTTAATTCGAAAGATAATATTAAATAAAATATAAATTTCTTTATATTTTTTGTTTTGCATAATTGAAATTTGTTTTTCTTTTTTTTGTTTGGGTTTTGTTTTTTTTTTAAAAAAAAAATACACAAATATATAAATTTTATCTTCTCTCTCTAGGTTTAACTACCCACTTATTCGGCCTCTTCCTAGTTTTACCACCTTTGGCCAGTACATTCCAAGGACTCACGGGATGCCTATTTCCTTTACTTTTACCCCTTCCACCACCATGAGGATGATCAACCGAATTCATGGCGACACCTCGAACGGTTGGTCTTATACCCAACCATCTGCTTCTACCTGCCTTACCCAAGGTGGCATGTTGATGATCGGGATTTGAAATGGTTCCAATTGTCGCACAACAATCCACGTGGATCAAACGAACTTCCCCACTTTTCAACCTCACTTGAGCATAACCTTTCTCCCCCGTGCGTACCAGTTGAGCCGAAACTCCAGCCGAACGACACAAGATCGCAGGACCATCCGGTTTTAACCCTATACAACATATCGTAGTACCAACTGGAATCAATTTCAATGGTATGCAATTTCCTTTCTCAACGGCCACAACCTTTGTGATCAATGAATCTTCATTGATTTCTTCTACCTGACCCTCTTGTGATTTACGAAATGATCGAACGATAGTTCCGGGTTGAAGATCATGTGGTGCGATGATGTAAGAATATTTTCCGTTTATGGTATTTTGTAATAAGGCCAAATGACCGGAACGATTGGGATCATATTCGATACGAACGACTACATGTGGTTCGGGATCCCATCTATGAAAATCGATCACACGAACACGTCTCTTGTGACCTCCACCACGATGTCTAACCGTAATGTGACCGTGATGATTTCTACCGGATTGTTGCTTTTTGGCCAGGGTAAGCTTACGTATAGGTTTACCCTTCCATAAATGATCATTCACAGGCCTTTTTAACCAACGTAAACTTGGAGTGCTTGGTTTATAAGTTTTAAATCTACCTTGTGCTAATTCCGCGGGTTCCGTTCTTTGTACTGGTATTGACATTGATACGGCGACCGGTTTTTTGGAGTACGTCCTACTTTGGATTTGGTTAGGTTTACCGATCGAACATGATAATTTGGGTGACGATAATGAAAGTTTCTGAATCGATACGAGGGAAAACGTCGGTCTCTGTAAATAATGATTAATTACATTGAGAACATGTAAATTACGCGTTGTGATCCCCTTGGAAAGACCCGTTAATGTAGAATTGAAATACAATTTATTGGCAAACATTATTTTTTTTTCCCCTCTTATTAAAGGATTTTTTTTTTTTTAATAAAAAAAAGAGACACAAATCGTCATGTGAGATGGTTGATTATCCGCATGAAGTGAAACTCGGAAAATCATGTGAGGGATTTCAACCCAGGATGTACCAGATTTTTCTTCCAAGTAAAACATTTTTCCGAAATGGATGGATGAAGATTCGACCAGAATTTTTTGTTTAAATTTATGCATTTACCAAACGTAATCGTCCCCGTCATTTCTACAATCAGGAATTAAAATCATCGGGATCGACTTTGATGAAAACTTTTTTCAGATTAAAAAAAGATCCCACAAACTGAAAGGTTTTTCAAATGAAAAAAAAAAAAAAAAAAAATTTTTTTTGATTTGCTTGATAACAACAATGAAAACGAATTCGACGATAATCTAAATATCTAAATGTACAGTCGAATATTGTAATTGTGTTTATTGTTGCAATTAAAGTACAAAGATCACTCATTATTTTTAAGGTTTTGTTATGCGTTGCAAAAAAAAAAAATAAATAAATAAATAAATAAATAAATGATATAAAAAAAGTGTTAATAGTTTAATAATTACAAATTTTGAGAAACCTTATTTTTTTTCATTCAAAATCTTTTACGCCTACCCGTTGAACAAAAAATGGGTTATTTGACCGATTGTTGAAAAAGACAACTTAATTGTTTAGAAAAAAATACCTACCGAATATATTTTTTTCACGTTACCCCGATTTTCCAACTTCCAGATATATCATTATCCCTCATCCATGTATTGTGTCGATGAGAGAAAGAGAAGAAGAGATTTCTCAATGATTCATTTCCACGTGTTGTACAACATTTCACAACCTTAAAAGTTCTTTAAACATTCTTAATTTAAAAAAAAGTATAATCCTTTTTTTGGGAATCACTCTGTCCCTTGAAATCTTGAAATCTTTACCAAAGAAGTGTAGATATGCTAATTCTGCGCACCTGTGAGTTTCAAGAGGAGAAGGCTAGATTCCCGCATGGATTTTGATCAAAATCTTGCAACAAAACCCCCCAAAAATGGTGAAAAGTAGAGAGTAAAAAAACTCGTTAATCAACCCGAAAAGTGAAGGGATTCTTCTACTCTTTTCTCACATACGTAATATGTAATGCACACATGACATATTGTTTGCTTAATGTCTAAGGGTTCGAGTACATGGCATATATTTTGCAGCGATTAAATATGGGAATATTTGCCCCCTTTTTCATTTATCATCATCATTTATTTTCAGGATGATTTCGTGTCCCAAATTTTTTTTTTTTTAATCATCATCTTTTTTTTTTTCCTTGCTTTTCTTGCTTTGAAGGTGTCAAAACAATTATCGCGTTTTAACGCGTGATGATTTCGTTTAATCACACATGAGAGTTTGTGTTACCACTTGCATTTGCAGTTCAGATATCTACCAAAAATAACTATATTATGATAACTGCATTATTTAATTCATAAAAACGTGTTTCTGAAACATCTCAGGGGAAACTTTTTTTTTTAAATAAATAAAAATGTAGCGTGTACGTGTGTGTACGTGAGTACGTTTGTCCCTATATTATATTATACCAATTATTTGTGTATATATGCTAGTCGTCACAACAACAACAAAAAAAAAAAAAAAAAAGATGTTCAATACAGATAAAAGAGATGATTTCGTTAATGAATAATGTCATCAACTGAATTGTAACAATGAGCGTCTTGGCGTGTAAATGTGTATATCAACAAGCAACACAACAAGGCAAGGATAACAAAAAAAAAAAAGAATTCTCAAAAAAAAAAGGGTCTTTCAATCGCCGTTGAAAGTTTTTGCTCACACCGTAATGTTTATCCCTAGATAAAGGCTCTTTCATTGTACCTTGTACATCAAAAGAAAATCATTTAATTAAAAAGTGGTTTAGATCGAATATTTGGGCAGGGATCATACAGGGTTAGCCTTAATCGCGTTGTGTGACAGCGATGTTATCATGGGCATCCCTTTTATAACTTTTGATTTAACGCCATCGACTAGTCCCGAAAAAATCATTTTGACAGTTCAACGTTATCTCATTCGCAGATCTGTTCATACATTTTTTTTTTTTTTTCTTCTCATTTCATTTCCGGACAAATGTTACATATTTTTGTTCTTATACTGTATAATTTAAGGATAAATTACCACATTTGGTCATTTGGGTGGTGTGTAAAATGCCGCTTGATGTGGGGTGAACATTTAACAAAAAAACAATATGGAAAAAAAAAAAATTGCAGGTGAAAAAAAAAATAAATGTGTGAATAACTTAATAGAGGATTGAAGTGTGTCAGCAAGACGAAAGTCACTTTGAAGAGATTTGTTTATTAAAATGACGACAGATTAGGCGGGCTTTTCATGCGTACAAGGCGTACCAAAGAAATCCATAACAATAATTGAAAAGATTGGCTGATTCTTGTTAACCTTTTTAAATTTACATACATCTTTTTTTTTAAAAAAAAAAAAAAAAATTCATCCCCCCAATAGGAAGGTAATGTAGTCATTGGGAACACATTGTTATTCCATTTTTGTTTAAACGAGACAAAGGGACAAAAGAAATGCAATCAAAAGAAAAAAAAAAAAACATTCAATTTTTTTTTTTTTGTTTGTTATTATTTTTATGCCAAGAAAGATCAAAAGACAGATTGCTGATTAAAAATGACACAACGCTTCGGATTTTTTTTTAATCAAAAGAACTCTTTGTTCAGGTCAAATAGTTTTTTACACCTTTTAAATGATTTCAAAAATTAATCTTATTATAGAAAAGTCAATGTACAACGAAACAGGGGTGGTACTATGAAAAAAGATGAACGAGATCCGTAAATAGGCCAACATCGCCGGATGCGCTTGTAACGCAAGCAACGCACAATCAACATACGAGCAAATAACATCTCGAATCCCCTTGAAATGAACTAAAAATGGAAGTAGGGGCCGATTTCCTTTTTTCTTATCGGATATTAATGAAAAGCTAAACTATTAATTTCATTATTATTTTTACTTCATTTTTTTTCATTTTTTTTTTTCCGAATAATATTAAATCTGAAACATGATTCGTACAAGTGTTTCGGAGATCCACACAAACACGTAAAAAAAAGGTTTCTTTTAAATCTTAAATAACACCCATCAACAGAAATTTCTTTTTAATCTTCTCGTTACATAGCATTTATGGAATAATTAACACCGATACACGTAATATCCTCCCCAATTCTCATGAAGCTTATACAATTATATGCTTGCGTATTTGTCAATATTTATATTATGGTGTATTACGAACAATTTTAAATAAATTTATTATATATTTTTAGTATGCGTGGTTTTTACGTCATAATTGTTATATTTATCACCGAACATTCCATCATATTTACTATAATGGTCGTTCTAAGAAAAAACCGTTATATCACATGAGGTGAAAATTTTTGCTCGTATTCCCATAACCGATAACAAATAAACCCTTTTTTTACTTGATGATCTTTTTTGAAAGTATAATTCCAAATGACCAAGTTCTAGGATATGATACATTTGTAGTCATTCAACTCATTATACATGAGCAAAAAATTTCCTATTTAGTAGAAAAAAAAAAAACGAATGTTTTTTCTTGCCACATAATAATATAATAATATGTGCTTTTTCGTCGATGACACAGATTCATCTCGGTATTGTATTTATTTTTTTTTTTTTTTTGGTACGGCGTTATACGGAATTTTTTGCGAAAATGAAAAAAAATATATTGTTGTGGTTGAAAAATATTTTTTTTTGGAATAAATAATAAAGTTAGTGTATTTGTACACTAGTGCCACGAGGTAATTCCCGTTTTGCCACGCGAACCCTTTTTCTGCTTACACATATTGTTTTAAAAAGATATGATTAAAATGATTGTGATATTTTCTAGCAAAAATTTAACGAGAGGTTCGAATGAAAGCCGTTAAATTCCGCAAGTACAATGTAATTGCTTTTAGTGGTATATTGGCGTTAAACATGTAAGAAATAAAAAATAATGGCATGCAAAATAGGTTCAATGCGTGAGAATTCGCTCTCTTTTTTTAACTAAAAAATCATCTCATGACAGCATAAATACGAGATTAAAATCAAGTTTTTTTTTGGTTTGAGAAAAATGATTTGCGCCAATGGGATAAAAAATCCACCGCGAGAGAATAATGTCACAAGTCACGCCATTTATTTCATTACCGAAAGGGAGCGGAATGGCATCGCCCGTTCCCCTTGACAACCTTGAAGGCCTTGATGGTTTATCTTTTTTAAGTGAAATAAAAAAAATCCAACATACCACCAAATCTCTTTTCATCATTAGGGAAAATCGTTTGACTTCTCCCACGATCTGTTATTAAATAACATGAAAGTTGAGTTCATTAATAATCATGTGGTTGTGCATTCATACGGGATCCTAGCAGGAATTACGCATAAAATGATAATCTCTCCATTATGTAAAGGCATTGGACATATCGCATGGAATTGCGTTTAAAAGGAGGCTGATTTGATTGCGCCCCATATTTAATTGAAAAGCGTCTATCACTTCTTACATAATGAAAATCAGATAAAAAACAGATGATGCGACCATGCCCTTGATGACGAACCATTCTCGCGTTCTGGTTTAAAGACTCTTAAAAGTTATTTGTTATGTTTACAACTTGTTTCATGAAAACGGTGATGAAAATGTTTGAACCTGTGCAACGTTAATAACATTTTAGTGCCAAGTTTCCCATCAGGAAAATCATATATGTATAATATTTATATCTTACAATATATAAATATATGTTACAATTAAGGAGAAATTATATTTTATTATTGTAATTATCGTGTAACGGGTAACAACGGTAACGTATTGTGACCAGATTATTACGATATTATAAATGGGCTGACTTGAGATCATATTAACCTTTTATTTTTGTACCTTCCATGTGGTACCCAAAAAAAATTTCGATTTCTTTCGATCGAATTTTATTAAAAAAAATTAATAAACTGAACATTTAAATTATTTTTTTTATTATTCTTTGTTCATTTTATTATTGAGTTTCTTGTTCTCCAAAATTTTGTCGTTGTCACACTATGGTCGCTCCCTCTCTTTTCAAACTTGCTTATTAGAAAATCTTTTTTTTTTTTTTTATCACGGTCGGGGAATCACTAATCACCTACTCAAATAACCAAAAGTAAAGAACTTCTAAATCAAGTTAGTGTTTAAATAAACTTTTTTTCAAAAAAAAAAGGTATTTTGTAAATCATGTGTGTGGCACGTCGACCTTTTATGTCCCTTCCATATAGAAACTTATTCATTTTTAAACAAAGAACATTTAAATCAAATTAATAAATTGTATACATTTTTTTACATTAATAACATATTTGTTTTATAATATATCCTGGGACCAAATAAAAAAAGTGCGCCCTATTGAAATAATTGAACTAAACAATACCTTTTAAAAAAAAAATAAAAATAAAAATAAAAAATAAAAAAATATATAAATACTTTAATCCGTTCCACTCTTTTTTTCATTATTTTTTTTTTTTTTTTTTTCTTTGTAAAATTTTGAGTTCAAATAAACATATATGTTGAACCCGCCAAAAAAAAAAAAAAAAAAAAAAAAAAATATTAATATACTTTCTCATTTTTCGGTAACCAAAAAAAAAAAACCTTTATTTTAATTTTTAATTCTTCTTTGTTCAAGAATTGATTATCACCTCTCACATTATTTGTTTTAAAGAGAGATACTTTGAAACAATCATATAATAAACATAGTTACGCATACTTTTTCACGGTTTAATTCCTTTGCATTTATCTCTGCTTCAAAGATATACTTAATTTCATTATGCTTGTTCCAAGACACAACACGCTCTCCTCGGACGAATTGATTACTTGTGAACGGGTAAATATTTCTCTTGTCCTTGCAAGTTGAACACCCGAGGTAAAGTCGAAGGTGACTAACTCTTTCTTCCTCCCTTCCTTCCTTACCTTAGACAATGCTCAAATTTATAGATAATAAACTCCCGACGGATACGGGAATGGACTTCAACGTTTGGAAATGGACGATGCCTGAATTATATGGTATCTTACTTGGAATGTTGGTCAAACTCGACCTTGTCGGTACACTAAACATTCGAAAATCCGAAATGTTGGATTTCATAATCGATGTCGAAAAAGGATATAATAATACTTCTTACCATTCCTTCTTACATGCAGTCGACGTGGTCGTGGTTTTATACTATATGTTGACGGATTTAGGCGCTGCAAAGTACATAACATCTTTGGATGCTATTTGCCTGCTCATTGCTGGGCTTTGTCATGACATCGGCCACGTAAATATCTTTCAAAACTTTCATTTCATTTTCAATCTCTTTCTTTAAAGACAACTTTCTCACGTCGCTTTTTTTTTGATCTATCATAATAGCCCGGTTTGAACAACGTGTATCAAGTTAATGCCCGAACGGGCTTGGCCGCCAGATATAATGATCAATCGGTCCTCGAGAATTATTCTTGTGACCTGACTATGGAAATAATAACAAAACACAAAATCTTTCGTCACGTACACAATTGTGATAATGAATATTTGGGTTGTGATCCCAAAGAGGTTGACACTTCCTTGAAAAATTTAATAACAAAAACAATTTTGGCTACCGATATGATGTTCCATTTTGATTTATTAGAATCTTTACATAACATGATAGGAGCTACAAGTTCTTCTTCTTCATGTTTTTCCGAAGAATCCGGTGAAGAGATGGATAATAGTTATCCTTCATCTTTGGCGTCTTCATTATCTTCGTTATCCTCATTATCATCATCTCCCGTTTCGATGTCCCCCCCTAAACAAAGCCCCATTTCTGATAATACAAGCGTCGAGTACGTAGATATTACTAGATCGTCTTCGAGATCATCCACCTCTTCGATGATCGTCACCTTAGATTCGGATCAACGTGAATTGTTATTAAAGGTCTTGATTCATGCCGCTGACCTCAGTAATACCGTTCGTCCATGGGAAATTTCTAAACTCTGGTCGGATCGTGTTGTTGACGAATTTTTCCGTCAAGGGGATCTCGAGAAAGAGAATAATCTCCCGGTTTCTCCAAACATGGATCGAGAGCAATCTCATCAGTGTCAAATAAGTTTAGGCTTCGGTGATTTCGTTGTCAGACCTTACTTTGAAACCTTTGCCGAATTCCTTAGCCCTGCCACGATCTTTTTGGAAATCTTGGCTAATAATCGTGTGTGTTGGGATGATATGAAAAATGCTCCACCACCAAAGATCACTCCCCCTGATATTCAAACCACGGATTATTCCGATGAATCCTTATCTCCGGATTACGCTGTGAACTCATCCAAAGGTCAGCGTCGCGTCAGTTTGGCGGCTGGTCTGGTGATCATCCCAGAAGACATACAGGAGAAGTTGCGATTGATGACCTCCCCACGTTCGCCTCGACATCGAAGATTAAAAAGGAGTCTTTCGGGTCGTTCTTATAGTCATCATTCATTTCTTCCTACCCGAAGTTCTTTTACGCAAGATGATTATGATGATGATTATCGGAAATCAAGGCGGAAATCAACTGGACCGGACGCTATCCTGGATTCTGGTGGTGGTGACACTTCAAATCTTCTACCAATTTCACATATTCCGACAGAACTTTCGTCTCCTGCATTGTCAAGCGTCACATCTTATTCATCATCGCCAATGACTTATAGTCTGTCCAATACTAAATCAGCATGTAGCCATCATCAAAGACGAATACATGGCCGCGTGAGACGTAGCAGCTCGTTGGATCATAATATGATTCGACAAATTACTACATTATACGGTTCTGGTGATTCGCCAACTTCTGAGCATAGTAGGGTTGTTATGGCAGGAAGTTAAAAACGATGACAACAAAACAAAGTATATATAGTTTAATAATCTCATTACCTTTTCTACTACTACCTTAATAGTTATTTTCGTTCATATATATATACATGGTTTTTTTTATATATATACATATACACATACATATGTACATCCCCCTCACTCATCTTTTTTTTTTTTTTTACTCCGTGTTTATAACCAACCAAAAAAAAAGCATTCGTATTCTTCTCATTATTATATATATAATATAGACTGACTCTTTTTTTCTGGAAAAATTAATTGTCGAATCAATTTAATACATAGACTTATTTACTATTTTTAGAAAAAAATTATTTTTATTACTTTTTAAAACTTTTTTTTTTTTTTTCCTCGTGTTGAAATTTTTTTTTTAAATATATATATATATTCCCCCTTCTCCCTTTATTTTTTGTATATAATTCTCAATCACCATCATTTTTTTTTTTTTCAGTCTTGAATAATAAAAAATTCATCGAGTCTGGTTTTTTTTTTCCATTACAAAATGTGTTGTATGTAAACAATATTAGTTTATCAATTAATTTTACATTTTATTTTGACCAATCAAGTTTCACGCAAAATGCCATTGTTCGTTAATTGGATTACTAAAAACAAACCAATTGGTTTTTGATTTAACTTTTTGAACGCTAACATGGAAACCGAAATATTAGCTAATAAAAGCTTCGGTCTCTCAGGAATTGAAATACCAACGGCTTTTGGAAATGCTACCAACATTAAAAGTTCTAAGAAAAGACAACGGATTATCTGATCCTGTGATTGGATTTTTTGGGCCAAACATGAAAAGGCAATTTCTGGGTTATTGAGTACATTAGCCTATCATTCATTCATAAAGAATATCGAAAATGTCAAAAACTCTTTTTTGTATATCAAAAAATTATTAATGATTTCAAATATCGAAATTTATTTTGAATATCAAAACTTATATATATTTAAGAGATCTTTCTTTGTAGATTCAAGTCCTTGTGAAGTTTCTTTATTAAAAGTTTTATTTTATATTATTTTTTTTATGTTCTTTTATTTTGGTTCTAAGGTAGGTCTTGCAAATGATTCTTTTCGGAGAAAGACATATATGAAATGATTTTTGATATTTGATTTCAAAAAACTTGGAATTGAATATTTCATATTTACTTATTTTGCAAATGAATATCAATAAAATATATTTTATTAAATTTGATTAAGATCTACACTAATCCTTCATACTTATCAATTAAATCAGAGATTTATTAATATGACAAAAGAAAGTTCAATAAGTATTAGTTAGTAACTATAAGAACAATTATTTATTATAAAAACTTTTAAGTTTAATATTAAATGAAAGTTACTATTAAATAATTAATTATAATATAAAATTTGCATTTATTTTATTAATATTTTTTAATAATTTATTTTGAAAGTATATTTTTTTATTTATTTATTTTTTTTTTATTTAAAATAATTTTTTTATATAATTTAGTAACAATTTTTTATTATATATTATATAAGCGTTTTGTAGTAAAAAGGAAGAAAACCACTAAAAAAATTTTTTTTTTTACTTTATAAACTAAATATTATTTTTTTTTAGTAAGATAAAT